TTCTTGAAATATGTGGGCTAACCCCTACGATAATAATGAATTTTGCTTATAAATGCTATCTGTAATATTTAATCTCTTTAGTGTTATTTACAAATAGCTAATCACACCCTAAATTTATATATATGTATGCTAAACTTCTTTTCATGGTAGATGGACATCATTTCTAATTTTATATTAAGTAATTTATTTAAAGTTCATATACTATCTATTAAGTAGACTAACCCCTATAAAAACTCTATTTTCTAGAGAAACAGAAACATCTAAGGTCTTAAATCTCTTTAATATTCATAATGTATCAGTGCATGATGTAGTTATGCAATAAAACAAAATTTTCATATTTTCTTATTTATCTTGAAATATGTGGCCTAAATCGCTACAAAAATATTGAATTTTCTGATAAATGTTATCTATAATATTTAAACTCTTTAGTGTTATTTACGAATAACTAATCACACCCTAAGTTTATATATATATATATATATATATATATATATATATATATATATATATGTATGGTAAACTTATTTTCAGATGGTAGATGGACATCATTTCTAATTTTTGTAATGGTTAACCCACAGATTTCATGATAAATTAGAAAATACAATATTTTTCTTTTAATGCACTACATGCATCCAGCACATATATAGAATGAATATCAAGGATTTCTAACACCTTCTCGTCTCAATTTCTCCAGAATATAAAGATTTCATAGAGTTTAGTCTTCGATTTACGTGGTATAAGAAGTTTTATTCTATTACTCGTTGAAAAATTATAACTGATGTCCATGTACCATGAAAATAAATTGAGGCTACATTAGTATAAATTTTTAATGTGGTTAAATATTTTAAATAACAATAAAAAGAAAAGCTAAACTTAAATACAAATAACATTTATTGGAAAATCTCGATCTTTTCGTAGGTTAATCCACTAATTTCAAGATAAATTAGAAAATATAATTTTTTTGTATTTATCATAGATGCATTTAGCACTGATATATGATGAGTATCAAAAGTTATGATACCTTAGTTGTTCAAGTTTCTCTAATAAATAGAGATTTCATAAGGTTTAATTCATTAGTTCTAGTGGTATAAAAAGTATTAATAAATTCTTCAGTATGTCCAGTGCTATAAACATAAGATTAATACATTAACATAAATTTTTTGAAGGTGGTTACGTATTTTTTAACAAAACTAACGAGGCTAAATTTAAATGTAAATAAATAATTACGTTTTATTAAAAAACATTAGAACATGAGATTTAATTGGTGGGATTAACGATCCTAATTGCGTCTAATGCCTTGTCGAAAACCTCATATTTGATTCGGAGATATTCACTCCAAGTAACTGGCCGGTATAGACGCGGACCAGCTATCTTTGATATTGGACTTATCTCCACATCACCACCTGGACCACCCCACAGATACGCTATGGATATTCTTGACCGGGTTTGGTTAACTCTGGCCCTGTGAACCACGCTCGGAAACTTCCCGTTTGATAAAATGTGAAAGAGGTCGCCGATGTTGACCACAAGAACACCCGGAATCGGCTCTACCGTAACCCAACCGGACTCTTCTTTAAACACTTGTAGCCCTCCTATGTTGCTCTGGTGCAAAATGGTTAGGAGACATGAGTCGGTATGAGCGGCTAGACCCATTGCTTTTTCTGGCTCTGGACAAACTGGGTAATGGTTTAGTCGTATGGCTCCTCGGCCCATTTTTGATACAGATTTTTCGCCCTTTTGAGCCCATTCGATTTCTTCCACGCTAACACCAAGTGAGGCTAATATAGTAGACAGAAGTCTGCTCGCTAACTTTTCCATTTCTGCCTTATACTCTTCGATTATTCCGCTGCGCAGTATGAACATGAAAAGCATCCAAAAGAATAATTATTAAACGTGTTTGTAAGACCCTAAGAATCGCCGTGAGGTATTATTAGAAAACCAAGTTCTAATCATTTCATATAGACTTAACTAGCTGTGTATATACATGTACTACTAGGATCCAAAACATATAAAGTTTAAAATTGCATGGGTACGCTCATGATCAGTTATATAAGTTTCATTTCCTTTACATTATGCAATACATGTGTGTGTGGAATGTAGTGGAGGTTACCAGTATTTGGTGTAATCATGGGGCCAAATAGTAAGGAACTGGTTGCGGTAGGAGGCATCGGCGATTGTCAACCCTTCGGACCACATTTTCTTCTCAAAGAAAGGAGAGATTCGAGGTTCTCCGTAGCCACCAGCTCCTTTATCAGAGGAAGCAGCCTCCAGTTTCCTCTCTGACGGCATATCGAAAAAGGTTTTGGAGAGAGACTCGATGTCATCGAGGAGCTTTTGGGGAACACCATGGTTGGCTATCTGAAACGCTCCCCACGTTTTGCAGGCATTCCCTAACAAAGTGGTGACGTCAGGATCGGAGAGGTTGATGATAGGGATGGACTCTTTCACAGCGTCGGAAGAGGGAGGGAGAACGGAGTCAGCGGCGGTGAGTTTCCAGGTGAATGAGTCTGGGAGTGTTTGAAGACTGCCTAAGTTTCCAATAGATACCTCTTCAGTTATTGAAGGCATGGCTTGTGCAGTTGAGAGTGTTAAGATTTGGTGAGATTGTGATGCTCATGGTATATACAATTTGCTTAGGCTATTTATACATAAAGACACACACATATGTTATGAATATATGTCGATCACAACAAGTTTGATACATGCATATATGATGAGGATAAATCATTTTTGATTCTTGACCTTTTCTGGAGCCACACATGTAAAGGTTTAAGCTAGTGTATTGTGGATTAGTAAGTACATCTTAATTATTGGATATTTATTTCCAGTTAAACCTAAGCAACCTGATTGGATAGCATTGACAAGTGTTTGATTTCTCTATATTGATATTTATTTATTTTTTGATAAAATTTCTCTATATTGATATTGTAATATTACTTATTGACTATAACTGAGATAATGCCATTTTCCAATTAAAACAAGCAATCCTTATGATTAAAACAAGTGTATTCATGCATTGTATGAGTTAGAATTGTTTCTTTTGTCATTATTACTTTATATGGAAAGCTTATAATGACCCCAGGATCTGATTCCTTGGGGAATATATACCTTGTTTCATGTATTTTATTTTTAACTACTAAAGTGCTTGTGTAATGAGGTAAAATCCCCTATATATTAATCTTGAATCATTACAATATATTTTTTAGTCACGTGTCACCAGGACAATTCTAAGAATCCTTAGAAAATAAGTTGTTCAATATAATTATATACTATACTTTTTATTAAACTAGCTATCAAATTAATTATTAGTGTACAAAAGAATATTATATGTTTCCTTAAATAATAACTACAGATGTACTTAATATGATTAACAAATATATAACAATTAATGATTATGAATAATACATATCTCATAACAATTTTTCTTTCAATTATCTTTTTGTTTAATTTTATATTATTTTTTTGTCAACCACAATGTTTAATTTTATATTATTAAAATAATTAAACATCACATTAAGCATATAACAAAAATATTAGATTTTTTCTTATACGTTATATGTAGAAATTTTTGAAACGACCATAAATTACTAAAAATTGTAAAAGTCCCACGTCAAAAGTTTTTGATCAATGGTTTAATTTTCTTGTTTGTTAAAGCAAGATACAAATGATTATAAATCATATGAATATGAAGTCTCTTTAATAGATATCCATATTATATATATATATATATATATCAATATCATTTAAATTAAATTATATACTATTTAAATATATAAATTTGTTAAGTTAAAAAATTCCGGTGAAAATTATTGACATCTTAATATTTTAATTTTGAAATTTGCATTGGAGCAATCTCACATTAATTTTTTGTGATTTATTTAAATTTTTGTTAGAGAAAATATAAAAATGTTAATAAAATCATATGAGTAGAAAATATGAAGAATAAATAAAATTTTAAAATATACTACATATATATATATATATATATATATATATATATATATATATATATATATATGTGTGTGTGTGTGTCAATCTCAATAACATTTAATTATATACCTTATAAGTAAATAAAATGGTTGTTTTGAAGTATTTACCTAAAACATGATTACAAACTAACAAAATTTATTAGTTTTGATTTATGTGTCTACTCTAATCTATATAATTTGTATACAAATTAGCTTTTAAATAGGTAGTTTCTTATATGTTATTCGATCCTAAAAATTTGAGAATTACACTTCTTCAAATCAAAGTAATTTTTAATACTGGAAGCACTATATATATATATATATATATTTCATTTAAACTAAATAATTTAATTTTCATATTTATTCCTAAAAATATTTTAATGAAATATCATGACAAGATTCCAATCACCTAATACACAATATAACTATTATATTGTGTATTATCACAAATGAGAGATTTGATCATTCGTCTAATATTTGTTTCTCCATAATACACAATATAACTATTATAATTTACCCGAACAATACTTATGATCTTAGTACTTTGGGATTTAGTTATAATCTGAACCGAACCGAAATCCGAACTAGATCCGAAGATATCTGAAATTAGTATAATATTTAATGTTTTTTATATGTCAAGGTAATTTATATATTTTATTGTATTCAAAATATTTTTTTAATTTGTTTTATTTTTTATTATGAATATCCTTTAGTTATTTTAAATAATTTAATTAATTTTAAATTAGATTTATGAATAATTTAAATTTTTAGACATTTTTTATCAATTTTGAGGTTTCAAAAATATTTTTTGGGACGATTTCATATTTTGGTTTTATTCTGATCCAAACTGAATCCAGTAGGAACAGGACCGTATCTTATCCGATAATTAGTAAAACCCGAATGGGACTGAAGAGTATAATATGGAAAATTAGAAAATTCGAATCAATCGAACCGAAACCGACGGACCCTTGAACGTCCAAGCATGTAATACATTTAAAAGACCAACATTTGTATTCATCATTTTACAATCAATATAGATTATGGTGTTTCAAAATGTTAAAATCGAACAAACATTAATATAATAAAAACTCATCATGCGCATACGCGTGGGTATCATCTAGTAAAATACTAATTACAACTCAGATGAAAGCTGTACAATAATGAAAGCAGAAAAGTAAACATCAAAAGATTTGGTCTGAAGGCAGATAGTTTCTAATAAAGGAAAGAGACTGATTAAAATGAGTAGCTTTGGTTGCAAGGTACTGCTTCCAAGTAAGAGATGGGTAAAGAGGAGAATGGAGAGGATCAACGAGTTTGGGAATCGGAGAGATCATCAGATCAGAAGGTGGTCCCCAAAGGTAAGCCATAGAGAAGCGAGATCGGAGGTGGTTAACCCTAGCTCGGTGAAGCACGCTCGGGAATATACCGTTGCTCAAAATGTGGAGTAAGTCACCGACGTTGACCACAAGTGAGCCAGGGACAGGTGGGACAGTGACCCATCCCACGTCATCCCGGAATACCTGGAGACCGGCGGTATCGTTCTGGTACAGTATGGTCATGAGAGTTGAGTCAGTATGTGCTGCGAGGCCCATTGCTCTGTCCGGTTCTGGACATATTGGATAATGGTTTAGTTGGATAGCTGCTTGAGCTCCTTGAAAGTCTGAACTCGTCCCGGCCCATTCAATGTCTTTTTCGTCGACTCCAATTGAGCCTAATGCTAGCCACATCAGCTTCGCTGCCAACTTTTGCATATGTTCTTCATACTCTTGAATAATTTCACTGTTGAATCGATGTGAAATTAGTTAGATGATAAAACGTATACAAGTCTTCATACAAAAACTGGGACAGCCATAATCTTTTAGTGTATCCATCAGCTTTATTTTTCCTACCATAAATGCCATTGTTATTTGTTACTACTTACTCTAGTATACAGACACCCCACTGATCTTTGAGACACATATAATCTTTGGTGGGTCTATCGGCTTTCATTGTGCTTTTAACTAAACTTTGACATGGCAAGATATTTCGGTTTCTAATTTTCCTCTTTCTGACTATTCATACTCGTATCCGTACTTTTTTTCCTTTAAGAGAAGGTGGACATAACTCATATAGTCATATATGTAGGAAGATATGCAATATTTTTTTATTACACGGTATGTAAGACAAGAAAACGAATCTAGTATAAAATATTCAAGTGTAGATATATATACCAGTATTTGAGGTGATGCATGGGCCAGAGTTTATGGAAATCGTCAAATGGGGAGCCAACAACTGTGAAACCTTCGGACCACATTTGCTTGTTGAAGAAGGAAGCAATACGAGCAACCCCGTAACCGGAGATACCATCATCTTTCCGAGCCACCTTGAGCTTCCTGTGGACGGGAAGCCGAAAAAGGCTTCCCGTGAGGAACTCAATGTCGTGGAGAAGCCGTGAGGGCACGCCGTGGTTTGTGATCTGGAAGGCTCCCCACGTGGTACAAGCATGGCCCACACGAGTGGCCACGTGAGGATCGGAGAGGTCGATGAACGGTAGAGATTCGTCGGAGGAGGAGGAGGCGGAGAAGAAGAGATCGTCTTTGGGGGTCCATGTGTAGGAGTCTGGGAGGTGACGGAGGGATGTGAAGTCAGGTAAGTTTGAGAGTGGAATATGAATGGGATGCGATATGAACACATCGCTTAACGTTGAGTGCATGATTGGATTGTGGTATAAAGGTTTATAGATTAAAAGTTATTAGAAATGTGAGTATTATCGTCTTAGCTAGTGTTCCCTTTTGGTATGAATATGATGTTTGGTGGAGAAGAGGAGTAGGAGTCGGAGGGTATTTATAGTAGTCAAGACTGAAGTGTAGTGAATGAGCCGAGAGCGTATTTGATATGTGAAGAGGCTCCTTTTAATCATTCTTATTTGGTTATAAAAAAAAACCTTTGTTTTTAATTTCTGTCCAAATAATTTTCTTTTCCAACTATTTTTAATGACAAACTCCGAATGTTATTACCAATTTGCCACCAGATAGTGCTGTTATATCTATATTATTAAAAGAGAAGTACCCATATAAAATACCCCTGAGTTTTTCTAGTTATTTACAATATTATGCCACTGAAATTATTAATTACCCTATTTTATAGGATTCTTGTCTTTTCACTTTAATTAATGCATTTCCAAAATCAAATTTTAACTAAAAAAATTATGGCAACAATAATTAATGAAAATAATTATTTTCATATATACCTTTTGTAATTAAATAAATAAATTATATAGAAATTGTTTTACTAATTCCATATACATAATAATTAATTTCAATATTAATTAACCTACCTTTTAGGATTGTTTTCTTATTAATTATCTACATATCTTTAAATAGTTAATGAACAATATTTTTTTCAAAGATATATAATTATATTTTTATTATTTATAATTAATAACTAAAATAAAAGTCACAAAAAGAAACATTTATATAATATATAATAAAAAGATTAATATAAACATATCATGTTATGTATATTTTTATATAAATAATAGTTCAAGGTAAATTCAGAATAATAAAAGTTAAAAAGTAGAAATATATAGGACCATATATTTTAAATAGTAAATAAAAAAAATTAGTTATATATTATCATAAAATTTTGATCCATAAAAATAAAATAAAAACATTTGTGCAGATATGCGGGTCATATTTTAAAATAAGTATGACACAATGATAGTTTATAAGATAAAATAGAATTACTCAATATAAACTATAAAATTGTGTGTTTAAAATGTCATTTTAAACAATTATTTAAATGGGTAAATTTAGAAATATATATTATCACTTATAAAATATATAAAAACAAACACTTGCGCGGATCAAACATCAAATTTTTCGATATTCTTCTGTCAAATTAAACCCATAAGTAATTTGTAACCATTTAACTGATACTTCATTTTTTATTTTACATCATTTAATATAAACCTAAAAATTAAATAAAAACAAAACACCCGCCCGGTCGGGCGGATCATGTTCTAGTTATTGTATTATTTCAGAAGAATAGTCAAATTTACCTTTTAAACACAACATGGCATTTAGTTTAGGAGATCACACCTTCATGTGCCAATGCCATGAGGTGAGGGCCATGGCTTCTCACTAAACGGCATTAATCGTTTCTCATGCCTCAACTAGATAGTCATTCTTACTTTTTTAGTTGCACTATAGACATAACCACGAATGATGCATATAAAGAGAAGTCGTTTGCCATCATGCTTACCTCATAGATCGATGCCATTCTCTACAAATCCCACTTGTGCTTTATAATGAAAAGCTGGTATATAATAAAACGTTCCAATACACGATGCATTTGTTTTCTCTGTTTTCACGTCCCACCTGATATAGAGAATAAGAACACAAGTTTAACAAAACGTTTTCTTTGTTTTATTAATCTTCCTTTGCTTTCTTTCTTTCTTAAGATCTCCTTACACTTTTGATCTCTATATATATGCAATAGAAACTTCTTATCTTTTTCCTATTACAAGTTAATCTAGGAACCTTTATCTTTATCCTAAATCTATTAGTTATTCACCTTATC